AAAAAAAAAAAAAAAAAAAAAAAGTAAAGAAAACTGGCAACAGTGTGTTCAGTTTTCTTTAAACCTCGATATAAATACTCGTTAAACTGTGCCCAGAGGTAATATCTGGGTTCAAGACAGAAGGCATTTGAGAAAACCAGTCTTTGTCATTCAGTTGTTTACTGAGAACAATAAATCACCCTGTGTTTTAATTAGATACTTCTAGTCAGAATTTTAAGTTAGAATGGAACATCAAGAAAAGGTCTTTAAAATACAGTATTTCTTTTAATATCCTCTGAAGTTTAAAAGCTCTTTGTGTTTTATGTATCTGAGTGAGGGATTAGCTATGAGTAATGATTCCATAACCATCTTTAAATTCATACAAAATGCTATTTCCTGCTCTTCTTGGTGTTTTGCAACAAAAGTCCCCATAATATTTTCTGCTTCCTGCACCCTTCTCTGCGTGGACACTGCCTCCTCTCGGTTTACTTCTAGTTGGTGGGACAGCAGGCCAGCGTGCTGCTGCAATCCCTGCCAGTCATTTTCTGTTTGAAGCTGAATTTCTGTCTGCACCGTGAAAATGAGCAGACCATCACTGAGACCCCAGGTTTGGAAAGCCGGCCCCCAGCAAGAGGACCAGGCTCCCGGGGTCTCCACGGTTCCAGGCCTCTGCGACTCTGGCCGTGCCTGATGGGAGGGAGCATCAGCTGCGGCCCGCTGGGGGCTGCAGTGACCACAGAAGCTGACCATCGACTGCGGGTGACAGAGAAGGCCCTGCTGACAGGAAGTCCATTCTGTTGGAAGCCACAGAGCTCATGGGACTTGAACACGGTCCAGGTTGAGCGCCTCTGGGTCTCCACAGGTCTGCGGTCAAGCCTGTCTTTCTTCACTTTGGGGTTCATCTTCTTGTTACCGCTAAATCAAACGCAGGGAAGAGGAAGGAAATAACAGCTCAGGCAGACTGACAACCATCAAGGAGCATAGCTCCCAGGACCCGGATGATAAGTGAGTAATTGTTGGCAGCCTCCTTGCTTCATCTTTGAGAAATTCTACAGTGTATCAGATGCTGTTTATGAGACAGCCGTCCTGGCTGCCTTACTAGATTAAAACCCACATTTCATCACAACCAAACTCCTATCTGGGGGTATCATTCGAGAAGATTAGCTTCTGAGCTTTAGTTTGTTTGTATAATAAGAAAGGGGTACCGGGGAAGCTGAGTTCTTATTTTACTTAAAACCCCTGGACTTCTCAGTAATTCTCAGGGCTTAAGTCAATGTGTCAGGAATTAAGTGGTGGACTCAGCTTCATGGCTGAGGCTGTCTAAGGAACCAGCCTGGCCACAGGCTGATAGGATGATGTCACGTTTCCTCCAAAATGTGTCCACTATGTGTGTGTTTTAGGGCCCTACAATATAGGGCCTTTGAAACACAGAAGTAATTTTTTTCTTACCCTGAACAATGAATTGATTTTGGCATGTAGCAAAGAAACAATACTTGAATAAAAATGCAAAAAAGTAAACACATTTGACAACTACTAAAGCTGCCAAACCGAAACAGAAAAAAAACAGAAAGATAATAAAAAAGGAATATGTGACGTGATCAGAAAATACAGTGAATTCTTACTTAAAAAATGTTTTAAAGGACACATTTTAATGAGTCCCCCTCAAAATCTTCCCCCTCACCTCTGACACACACACATCCCACCATCTTGTCACTTTCTGTGGCAGCTCTGGAGTCCTCTTTCCTGAGGGTCATTAGCTGCGGGGTGCTGGCTGCTTGATGTCTTGGCTGAAGTGATAACAGCAATCCTCTCAAACAAGCTGCGCTGATCATTACCATTGTGCAGTGCTTAGTTGGGCCTCAGTCATCCATATTGAACTCACGTTAATTTTGGAAATATCAAGCACCCATGAAATGACCTAGAAATATGCAGTTTTTAGTAATGGGAGTTGAGCATGTCATCTGTGTCACAGCGGTCTTGCTGCTGGTGTGACCCTGGCTAACCACAATGTCTCTCTGCAACCCACCTGGTCTGACCCAAGCAGATAAGGAGAAAGCCAATGCAATATTTGTAAATTATGCTTCAAATCCAGAAGACAAGTGGGAACAAGTTGTAGTTTGTGCCTTTTTCAGAGTATTGACGCTGCCTGAACAGTGTATTCCTTGTCCTCCTCTTGCTGACATCAGAACAATATCGAATTCTCACCACTATCTTGTGAAGAAGGTCATTCTATTCCCATGAATGACAAAAATAAACATGTGAGGTTGTGTCCAAGGTTACATAAAAATTTAAACTGTTTCGTTTTGCTCAGTACTGAGGAATGAGCCCAGGGTCTTGCCTGGGCTAACCGAATGCTCTAGCACCGAGCTATGTCCCACAATAATTGCTGGGTTATTCTAACGCTATCACCGTGTCATACTGACTTCCTTCTGCAGTCTTCCCTGGACATGAGGTAAACTCCTTAAGAAGTGTTCACGTTCAGGAGCCAGTGAAGTGTGTCTGGATTCTTTATAAAGCTCTCTGTATCGAGGATGGTCTGATAAGCAAAATTAAAATGTTACATTCAGCCATCTGTGTCCAACACGCAAAGCCATGGGGATGCTGGCTGCCGGGCCACGTCTGTCACCTCCCCTCAGAGCCCTGTCCTCAGCACTCTCTTTTGCATCAGCATAAATATGACTTTTGGAAATCTGACTTTTTAATTTTCACCTGCCCAGGCCTTCCTCAGGCATGAGTGGAAACTCAGGATGAATCAGGCCCCGGGCAGGGGCATGGGATGTGCCTGGGGCTGTACCATTGTGCAGAAGCTCCCCCTCTTGCCCAGAACTCTATGTTCTGACAGGAGGACCACAGACCCAAGGGACACCTGGGTCACCCAGGTTCCATTTGATATGGTTCATGGGGACGGGGTCATTTCATAGGGAAGTTGGAAAAACTATGTTATCTCAAATGTTTCATGCATAGGGCTATGTTAAGAAATTACCTTTTACTTAAAATATCAAAATGAGGAAATGAGAAAATCAAAATTAAATTTTTCATATTACTTACTAAAAAGGTATGTCTTGAAAAGCTGAGAGTGTGGTGCGCCGGCGGAGACCATCAAGTGGCGGAGTTTGGGGTGTTGTGTGGCTTTCGGTTCCCTTGTATTTGGAAAGGTCTTCAGTGGAAGAATCTTCAAGCAGTTACCATGTCAAGAAACACAGATGTTTCTCTTCATATGATGAAGATCAGGGATCTAAACTTACCCGAAAGGCTAAAGAAGCACCGTTTGTCCCTATTGGAATGGCAGGCTTTGCAGCAATTGTCGCATATGGATTATACAGATTGAAGAGCAGGGGAAGCACTAAAATGTCCGTGCACCTGATCCACATGCGCGTGGCAGCCCAAGGCTTTGTTGTGGGCCCAGTGACCCTTGGTATGGGCTATTCCATGTCTCGGGAGTTCTGGGCAAAGCCTAAGCCCTAGAAGAAGAGATGCTGCCTTGGGCTCTTTGGAAGTGCTTGCTTCAGTTAGACATCTCATGCTGAGGTTACATTTTTGTGTCAAAAGTAAATCCTTCGAGTTGGTTCAAACTGTTAAAAAAAAAAAAAAGAAAGAAAATATGTCTTCTTCATGTTTTAGGCACTGAGTTCTAGTATTGCTATTACCATTCTGTGTTTGTATCAGATTCTGATTGGTATAGTTTGTATTTCATGTCATGAGATTAAAACCATTCAACTACAGGTGTAAGCATCTAATATTCTGTAGTATTTTCACAGTTGTCAGGAAGTTAAGCTGTCAAGAAAAACTTTGTACACTTTGTATGTGAACTTGTAGGTTTGCTATAGACCTCAAATTTATAGTCAGCTGGTTTTACATCCCTATAGAAGACCCTGAAATGCTAACCCCTAGTATGATTAAATCCAGTAGTGTGTTTTGAAAAAGTACATGTAATGCATAGCTGAGCCCATGTAGCCTTATCTAGAGCCAGTCCCAGTGGAGAACTCTGGATATTTAACCAGAATGAAGTATCCTTTTACCCTGTACCTTTCTGTTGGGTCTCCACAATTAGGGAACGCGGACAAGGACCTGGGTCTCCCACTGCTTAGATCCCAGCATGCCCGAGTGGTGGAGCCCTGCTTGATTAGTGTGTGTGATGTGTGCCCCCTTTGCCTCTCTTTAAAGCCCAGTTTTTAATCTTCCAAGGTTTCCCTCTGCAGGTGGTGCACATGGGGTGGGTAAGCGAGAAGCTGCAGGGAGCCGGCTCCCCCCAGGCCCTCGGATCCAAGTTCCTGGCCCTAAAGGGCTCATCTGTCTACATCTTCAGCTCTCCGCCGGTAAGGCCTGGGACATTGTTGGCAAGGGGCTGCTGCTGACCTTAGCCCTGTCAGGAATGCAGCCATTGGCCGGGGGCTGCTCTTCCTGTGCGTCTCCATTCCCACGTGGCTGCAAAAGTTCTATTTATGATGTAACCCCCTGTTTCCTCTGCAAACTCATGCGGGAATCCATTCTTCTTCCAGTTCAAGCATCTGTTAGATGCTGAAGCATTTCCCTGATTGAAATGATCAGCTGGCTTATAGGGGGCTGCAGAAAGGCCTGAGTCTCAGCGCATCTGTAGCGTGTTGAGGCGACCAAAACTACACGGAACAAGCAGAGCCGTTCTACTTAGATATTTCTGAGTAGCCAAATAATGAAATTTTTAGCCAGATAATGAAATGTAAAAAAATGAAAGAAAACTAACACTTTCTTCCCACCTTCCAAGTGCCGTGGAAATCTAGAAGTCTGCTTAGCAGAACCCATACGTTAACGTGGTGCACTCACAGTATTTATTTTCCGGTAATATGAATGGCCTTCCAGCTCTGCAGTTAGGAGGGGCCATCAGACACAGCCCCAGGACTCTCGGAAGTTGCAGAGAGGAGAATGTGGCTGGGGGCGGGCGGGACCTGGGATACCAAGCTTGAGTTCAGTGTGGGTTACTGAAGGGTCCTGAGCCCCTTGTTCTTGGGGGAGGGGGGTCTGCAATAAGGGCTCTAACTGCTCTTGTTGTTTTAAGTGCCTGTGCCTTCCCTTTTGCTTTACTGTTTAATCACAGTAGCAATGAGGAGGCTCTGGAATGAGGAGGCGCTACATGGTGAATGCAGCACACAGGCGCGGCTTCCTGATGCTCACAGCGGGGACATTCGGACTGTGGTGACTTCGGAGGCCAGCCAAGTTTGCAGTGTCTTCTTTGATCAAATGCTGCTTAGAAATTCACCAACTGGCTAACTATATAGTGGTTTTGGTGCCTCCAAATCACAATATAGGAAATTTTTTTATTATTTTTACTTCTTGAAAGACTAAACATAGAGCCCATGGGGGGGGGGGGAATCCACATTTGCTACACTGTGGAATATTTTAGATTTTTCTTTTTTCTCTTTCTTTCTTTCTTTCTTTTTTCTTTTTTTTTTTTCTTTTTTTTTTTTT